CACAACCCAAGGACATGGACAATGGTGGGGAGAGGGACTGGGGAGGGGGAAGGAAAAGGGTGGAATGGGTCATTGGGGAGAAAAAGGGACATCTATATTATTTTAAACAATAATAAAATTAAAATAAATAAATAAATAAATAAATAATAAATAAAATAAAATAAAAATTAAAAAAAGAATGTGCTGGTAGTAAAAGGTCTATTTTAGGAATATCTTATCAATCATAGAAATAAAGCACAAAATATGAGAGAACATTAAAAAAAAAAAAAGATAAGTTTCTCCCTGGCTGGGTGGCTCAGCCAATTGGAGCATCATCCCAGACACCAAAAGGCTGCAGGTTCAGTTCCCAGTCAGGGCACATACCTAGGTTGCAGGTCAATCCCTGGTGGGGGCACATACGAGAGGCAACTGATTGCTGTTTCTTTTTCTCTCTCTGTTTCTTTTTTTCTCTCTCTCCCCCTTCCTCTCTCTCTAAAATCAGTAAACATATCCTCAGGTGAAGATAAAAAACAAAAAAAAAGGTAAGTTCTGTTGGAAATTAAAAGTAGACTCAATGGTACAACAGCCTAAGAAAACACTACTGTCAGGTCGCTGTAAATTACAAAAGTAATTTTGTATATATTTATCATGCAAATTCCTTTTCTGAGTTGAACTAATTCACTAGTGAGGGACATTCCTCTCCTTGCTCCCCCACACATACATACACACAAACTTGCCTATTTAAATTAAAATTCAATAAAGTCTATTTAAAAAGGATTGCCTACTGAGATGCTCCACTGCATATTTTAAGATACCTGACATGTTCCAACTTACCCTGTGCAACGGTAAGGGTGGAGGCCATGAGACACACCTCATACTATAGGTGGTAGGCATGCCTTCCAGTCAAATAATTCTGTGCTTGCTTTTAAGGTGAGTAATGGCATTGAGAAGTACAGTTTGAGTTGTACTAACTTTAAAACTTTCTGAAGCATATTTTGTATCCCAGTTTTAAAGTCTGATTAAAACTTTTATGAAAAAAATTATGAATTTTAAAATAATCCCGTTCTTTTTAATAGTATCCTAAATTGAATTTAAGAAGTATTATGGTTCTAAAAATATTAATTCAGCCTTGTAAACAGTCTCTAGAAACTAATAACTTATGACAGTCGAGGAAGTAACTAAAGAGTTACCTTCATGAGTAAAGTTGACAAGTTTAAACAAAAAATGAGGAAAAACTAGAGTCCACTAAAATGGCAGTCTATATTCAAGTAGTAGATTATGTTCCTAATTACTACAAATTCAATGTTGTAGATTTATGGATAGAGCTATGAGCCTAAACTTCAGACAACAGTAGACTTAAACTAAGTCAAACTGTAGACCAGTAAGAATTTAAACTGATACAGGATATTCGATTCCATAAAACAGTTATATTATTAGTAGGACGGAATTCCATGTATGAGTAGAATATGACTAATGATTCTTTTTATCATAAGCAAGTAAAATTTTTCTAGACAAATAGTACTTTTAAGCCTATCAGCAGAGCTGAGGCATTTGTACATTATTCTGTGATCAATGAACACTAGTTATTATGATTATGTCCTGAATCTAGGCTCATTCAACATGCAACTCCTTGTCTAGGCCCTAATAGTGCTGTTCAACAGAAATTTCTGTGGTGGAAATGTTCTGTATCAATATTGTCTACTGAATGCTTAAAATGTGGGTAGTATAATTGAGGAACTGAATTTTGAATGTTATTTAATTTTAATTAATTAAAGTTTATATTTAAATAACCACAGGTGACTAGTGGCTACCATATTAAACAGGACAGCTTAGAAGCTTCAAAAAATAAGAGCAAATGTCTTACGATGTTAGGTCTAACTCTAGTCTGTTGATTTCCATAAGCATGGCATTCACAAATGTTTGCTCAAGTGGTATGCCAAAAAACCTTTTGTCCTATGGTTTTATCTTCATTCAAAAATATGATTAAATCTATGCCAGTAAATATCTAATATAACATTCAGACAATTCCAAACAAAAAATACCATCTGCGCAGATTTTTATTAGGGTTATAGTGTGTCAGTACAACTATACTGATTAATGAGGTGGTCTGTGTCAATTGTTCTAATGTTAGTTCTAGAATGACTAGAATTCAAACTATGAAATATCCCCTCCTAAAAAGTTTTTGTCCATTACCTATCATAACACAAGAATACCAATTGCTGCATAGTTTTCAGCTCCATTGGTTAAACACTGCAAAAGCACGTCAAACCATTTTACCTGACAGACATATTTGTTCTTCCATTTGCTCAGCACACAGTGACTGTTTTGCATCAGCTCCTGAAGGAAACAGAAAAAGAGAGAGTGCAGTTGGCTATACACATTGCCATTATCAGTTAAAGTGCCTCTGATTTGCAAGCAAAAAAAAAAAAAATCAGCATGCCACACAAAGATGCAACTGTTTTGAAACTCCTCACTGGACAAAAGCAAAGCTATCATCACCAGGAGAGCTAATCCTTTATGAAAATTAAAGCTGTTGAAAGATGTTTTAAAACAGATTTGTTTGTTGCCATTTTTGAAACTTTTGGAAAGATACCTCCAACTCCTTGAGTGAGTCTCGAAGTTTTTCTGGGCGTCTATTTTTGAGAGTCCACGGATAATCTCGTGCTGGCAAATAAAACATGTACTACAGTTAGTTAAACATGACTTAAAAAGGAAACACTACTTAGCAGTGTGCCTAAGGAAGATTAAAATAAAACACCTCCTTAATTGAGAGGAAGTGGGCTTCATTTCCATCATCAAATGACAGCCTTTTGAAAGGCTTTGTCATAGGAACAGAATTTTTACCACAAAACAATCTCCCTGATCATAATTTTATGATGACAACCAACAAGGATCAGAGAATCCCTGGGAAAGTTTCCTAGGCCTGTGAAGCTAGTATTTAAAGGTAAATGATCCACTCTTTAACAAAAAATAACATATTCATATAAATAATTACATGTTCAATCCCCCAAAAAATTCCAAATTCTGCAAGTAGCCCTCTCAAACCTGAAAATTCCTAATGAGTAAATGAATACAGTGAGGAAAGAAGTAAAATACAAAAAATTATACACAGAAGAATGAATTTTAAATTAAGCATCAAAGTATCACATATTAAGGAAAAAAATTGGGATAAATCCAAGTTTTAACAAATTAGGCACTAACAGTACTCTTTTTTATGGAAAACAAGCCTCTTTAAAATCTATACCACAATTCAATAATGATAAAGCTTTGCTGTGTTTTAAATACATTTAATTAAAAGATAAAATTATTTAGCAGAGTCTCAATGTCAGCCTAAGTCAAACTAAAAAGTTTTGTTTAAAAAATTAACAAAATGTTAAACTGATTATGTTATTTATTTCATCACAAAAATGAATTAATCTCTGAATTCTCCTAAATAATAATTTTAAATAAAAGTTCTATATATGTGTGTTTTGTGTGTATACATGTAATATGTAGTATATAGATATTAAAATTTTACAGAATTGCTATGTGTCTTATTTCAGCAAGTTAATTTTATTTTATAAACATAATATATGATGTACAGAGCATATGTGAAAATTTAAAATCTATGTTACAGCTACTAATGCAGTATTTTTAAAAATTAAATGTCAGCTTGACCATTTAAAACAAGAGAACAAGTAGGATTTTCAGCTCCACCTACATTCCAAACAAAATGTAAATTATATTAAAACCATATTACATTGTAGCGATATTACATTAACATATTTATATATTATAGAACAGAAGACTACAGAAAATAAAATGCTAATGCTGATCATTACAAATCTCATTTTCTAAAAATGGGTAAAACATAATAGTTTAGGCATAGGACAAATAAAATATCAAATTTGAGCATGATACACTTATTTTAAGTATATTAAATAATATAAATACTCATAAAGAAAGTTTATGTATACATAAACAAAAAACTGGATAAAGACTTAATGGTCTAAATTAGAAATGCCTAACAAATACAATTCTTATATGTTTACATACCTAAACAATGAGAATTTATAATTATAAGAAATTTAGAAGGAATAACATTTCTTATTTATGCAGAAAGCTTAAAACATTTTTTTAAATGGAATCTTAAGGGATGTTAAAATTCCAGTTTTATAATTATTCCGTAAAATATATAAAGCAAGCTTACATTCTGCCAGTTTCTGCTTTGCTTCTAAGTTACCATGCTCTGTCGCTGAGACTGTGGTGGAAGAGTTGGAAAGAAGAAAAAAAAAGTAAAAATTATTTTTATTATAACACTTTGTATTTTTATATGTACATATATAATATATTATTACACACATTGTTGAAATTATGCTAAACTTTTTTAAAGGCAGTTGAAAAAATGCCATAATTTGGATGCTTTCATTTCATAGAGGTATTTCCTAGATTTGCAGTGAAAAGGCTTATGTAGCACAACAGGTGGGCCAATATCCTGAGCTTGCAATCTCATCAGATATGGAAGGGAACTGCAACCGAGCCCAGAACAGAAGCTGTTTCAGTCTGTCATCAGAACCATGAAGTCAGCCTATTAACCACCAAGCTAAGCACAGAAGATGCCCACACAAGCCCCACTTCAACAGAGACCAAAACAGGAAGTAACTCTAGCTAGAAAGACCTTTTGGCCCATCAAAAACTTCTGGGATTAACAGGATTAATCAGATAAAGAAAATTGATCATTCACTCAGAAATGCCTATTTCAGATACCAGGTGAGGGTCTGGCAGGCCAGCACAGTGGAGCCCATGCATTAACAATGCCCTCTACTGGGACACTGACAGATAAATGTGAATAGACTGTCCAGTTATCAGTCTGATCAGCAGTAAAATGAAAATTTTCATGTTCTTCTACAGCATTTTCTCAATATTGCTTTATTTTATATAGAATAGATAGATATCAACTTCAGCATTTTTCTAAAGAACTGAAGTGACTTTTCTTAATTCTAAAATTTATTATGGTATTACAGTTTAGAATATTTAGTTTATTAAAAAAAATAGTTGAATAGAACAGATACTTTACCTGATTGATCTTTCTTGTCATAATACTGGTATATCCCAATATCTCTATCTATAGGAAGGAAGCAATAACAGTAGATTATGGTGAAAGTTCTGGAGAATAAGACGCCAAGCCAGACTATATGGCAGGGAGGAAGACAAAAATAGTCTCTTTGTGTTACTAGAAATAAGGTGGTTTAAAAGTATCTAGACATGGGTCCATGTATTATAGGGACACTGGAAAGTTTATAAATCTAATCGGAAAAGATTTACACAAAACTAGAATGGCATGAGGAAAGTAGTAGTAAAGAACTGAAATCAAGGAAGACCACCTTTCCCCTTTCACCCTTCCTCTGATATTTTTCACCGGGTGCTACCGAAAGGGAACTGCCACTAAGCAATGCCAAATGAAATCAGAGGATGGAAGAAAATGCCCTAGCTGTTGGATTCTGAGCTGTGCTTTCTTTTCTCCTATTTAGCTCAAGTCTGGTAGGGTGTTTGGTAGGGAATCTGTAGGAAAGAAAGAGAGGATTAGAGTAAGGTATGGATAAATTATCTGAAGCTGTTTAGACTCAAAAAAACCTTCCAAACCCATTCAAAGTCAGATGCTCTGCCGGGGTTACAAAAGAAGCAAAGCTAGGCTTCCTAGATGTTGAGAGTGATTTAATCAAGGAATCTGTTCTTTGAATTTAATTACAGGAGGACACAATAACTGTGTCCATTTTCTTCCTATCTTTGAATAGCGAAATATTTTTCTTTGAAGTAACATTTGTTTCCTTCCATGCAAAATAATTCCAGTTACTAACAAAAGGACAGAACTGTTTCTAAAGAAGTGGAAGCAGTACACGCTGCCCCCTAGTGACTGACTGCTCCAAACTTTCTCAAACTGAATGATAAAACTTCAGAAAAATATGTTACAGCTTTAAATATAGTTTTCAAAATAGTCAATCATGTATACTTACTGAAGTTCTATTTTATTCATTATGCTATTAATTTGGAATATAGCTTTAAAGAATGGAATTTATTTCTACTAGCCTGAAAATATCTAATAAGTAGTGATTGGGAAAGGCCATGAATAGGGACCCTAAGGTACTGATAATATTTTATTTCTTGACCTGGGTGATAATTTTATCAGTGTGTTTACTTTTTAACAGTTCAAAACATCCTTATAATTTTTACACTTTTCAATACATGCATTATACTTTAATAAAAAGGTGTTTGTTTTTTTAAATCTAAGAACCGTAGGCATTGTGTACACTGACAATATTCTCTATTATAATCCATCATTCCATACATCCAAATATTTACAAGTCTGTATTAGCACTATGAAGAACATAAGGAGCTTGAATCCTGTGCACAAGTCTGACCTAATGCATTTGGACTAGAGCAGGGTTGTCAAAACTCAAACAGGACAAGGAGGGTATCTGCGGAAGGAGACTTATTCCTCACGGGTGTCAGAGCCTAAGCGGGATGAGAAAGGCGTACATGCGGAGAGTTGGCCTGACATGGTATGTCAGAGCCCTAGCAGGGTGAGCATGTTCAAATGGGGCAGTGGCCTACTGCGGGGTGTTAGGGGCTGAACAGAGCAAGGAGGGCATCCACATATGGGGCAGCCCAACACGGTGTGTCAGAATCCACATGTGGTGAGGGCATCCGCTCAGAGGAGGGAGGGGCCACGGAGACGACAGACTGATTGATTGCATACAGTGTGACTGATTAAGTAAGTAAATAAATTAAAGAGATGGGAGCCCCAGCTCTCCCCTGTCCACAGAGAGTACAAATATAGAAAGGGAGAAAATTAGAATGGACACTGTGTAGATTAGAATTGGAGGTACCAATGTGAACTCATGGTTTTCAATATATAGAGATATAGAAATAACTGTGGATGTAAATATGAGTGTGTACCTACCTACCTAAATACATACATTCTCTAAGTTCTGTCCACTGAGAAGGCCTGGGAGCAAAGATACTCCAATAGCAATGAGCTTTTGTAAAAGCAACCAAATTGCTTAGAGAAGTGGCTGATTCCAGGACTAGGGAAGGGAAAGTAAAATAAGAGCCTGGAAGATCTGCTATGCTAGGAAGAATAGAAATGCTCAAATACTGACAGGGATATATATGTTACAAAGACACAGGAGCCAGCTAGAAAAGGGTATGTCCACATCAGGAACAAATTTCAACATCAAAATAAATAATGACTGTAATGGATGAAAACCATTGAATAAAAAATAGGAAACCTGAGTCCATAGGGATAAAATAAATATCTATTTTAAATGGGAAACAGGATACTAACATAATTTCAAGGTACTTCCCCACAAAATACTAATTCCAAAAAAGAAAGTAACTTTGCAGTGGAGAAGCCTAGCAGACACCACCTTAATCAAAGTGGTATCAAACATCATCAGTAAAGGCACAAACTGAAATTGTGCACCACCCAATAGAGAACACAGCATCACTTCTGGGATATTCCCACCAAACATGCATAGTCTGAACCTAATTGTGAGGAAACTTCAAACATATCCAAATTTAGGAACATCCTACAAAATAACTGGTGTAAAATCTTTGAAGTGTTAAGGTTACAAAAAATAAATAAAATTGAAAGGATAAAAGATTTGTTCTAGAATAAAAGACTAATGAGACATGACAGCTAAATGCAACATGTGATTCTGAAAAAGATCCTTTGCTTAAAAAGGACATTGGTGGGACAACTGGTGAAACTCATAGATACAGAGAACAGATTGGTCAGGCAGGGGTGAGGGTACAGGTGAAAGGAGTGAAGCAAAATGTAAGAACTTCCAGTTATAAAATAAATAAGTCATGGGGATGTAAGGTACAGCATAGTGACTGTGGTTAATAATACTGTATTTCACATTTGAAAGTTGCAGAGAGTAAACCTTAAAAGCTCACATCACAAGAAAAAAATTTTGTGACTGTATGGTGATGCTTGTTAACTAGGCTTACTGAATCATTATGCTGTAAACATGAGACTAAGAATGTTATATGTCAGTATACCTCAATTTTAAAAATACTTTAAATATCAAGCATAATGAGAGCATGTAACAGGTTACTAACTTAGTCTACATGGCAGAGAAGTCTTCTCTAGATGAGTTATTAAAGCTGATCCCTAAAAAAACAAGAAGTATTTCATATGATGGGTTCAAAGAGAAGAAAGTTCCCAGCAGAGAGAATGTATAGGCCCTGTTGAAGATCCAGTTGGGGCTAAAGACCTTACTGCCTGCCCCCTGGGGCCATTGTGTACCACTGTGGGTTTCTTCTCCAAAAACTATTCACTGACTCCAAATAGGAGGAACAGGGACAGGGGACTCTAGAGGTCAGATGAAGGGGTATGGAAGGAGTTTGCTAGTTATGTAAAAGAGGACTAGGGGTATAAGGGAATCAAGATAGCATTGATCAATCATGGGGTCCAAGCTAGGCAACTAAGAATATCTAAAACTAAAGAATCAAGAAATAATAGGATAAGCATATTATTTATAAATATAAAGGCATATACCAGACGAAACAGCTAAGAATTGAAAACAGGTATCTCCAGGGAGCATGTATTAAGGGCTAGAAACTATACAGTGCTGCAATGTTGCTTATATTGACAGCATTTAGCACCACCTGAATCTCACATGTTTGATCTAGATATTTAAAAAAGAAATACTGAAAGCCAAAAACAAAACAAAAAATCCTTTTATACCCCAAAGATTGGTAATATCATAATTAGTGGCATTTTTCTAGAAAGATCAAAATGCTATCAATGTATTCTTTAAAAAGAAGTGTGAGATATATATTCAATAACCTACAGGTATAATTTTTCTTACAGATACTATTTTTGAGTGCTTAATGCCTTAATACATATAAATGTCTGAAAATTTAAATCTTAATGAAAATGTACTGTTAGATATTTTTATATTCTCCAGGAAATGTTCATAAAGTGAAACATTTTATTATGAATTATTCTTATTCTTATTAATAAAGCCACCAGAATTGTGTTCTGGTTGGAATCTTTTTAAAAAAATCTATTTTTTAGAGAGAGAGAAAGGGAGAGGGAGAGAGAAAGATACATCAATGTGAGAGTAGAATATTGATCGGCTGCCTCCTGCATGCCCCCTACCAGGATAGAGCCGCAATCAGGGCATGTGCCCTGACCAGGAATAGAACTGCCAACTTTTTGGTGTATGGGAGGACACCCAACCAACCAAGCCACACCAGCCAGGGCTAAAAGATGTTTCTTAATGATATATACTTTATCTTATAATGCTAATAAGCATAGTTAGAACAAACTTATATTACTCCCCCCACAAAAAAAGTGATATGCAAAGAATATGAGTATAATTAATTGTATGTCTTAGATATACATTTTCTTATAAATATCATCTTAATATCAAATTGAAATGCCTTTACCATTAGCTAGCCTGCAAATATTTATAAATATAAATCAGTTATTATGAACAATTCCAGAAAAAAATTGAACATGTATGTATCGTAAGAGGAAACAAATATTAGGCCAATAAAATTAATTTCACAACAGAAAATTTACCTCAAGCTGAAAAAATAAGTTAATCAGAGTAATCAAAATAAATTCTTTTCTATTAGCTAGTTTTTCATTAAATATAAAGAAAATAATGCAACTTCAGCTGGAGAATAGAGGCTCTAACCTTTGTTAGTATTTATTTATGTTGTAACTTATATTTGAAAAATATTGAAATTAATCCAGAGCTCATTTACCCCCAATGTGTAAGGTATTCTTCAAAGACCACAGGTGCAGTTCAGTCAAGCAGAAAGACATCTGATGGCAGAAGGGATCTCTGTCCTGTTTAAAAAATAATTAAAAAGATGAGCCAAATAATTATCTCCCATTGCCAATAAAACCAAGATCCCCAGAACTAACAGAATCACTTGCCACTACTGATATTTGAGATATGGCTCATTAAAATAAACACTTTAATATATACTTGGGTAGCCATCCAGGAATAAACTCTAGAAAGAGGAAAAATACACTTCTTTTCCTAGATTTACTGTTGTCATCATATGTGGTAAGAAGAATATATACTTGAGTTTTCATTGACATGTTTGTTTTTTAAGAGTCTGAGTATATTTAAAATTAGTATTTAAGCATTTTTAAAAACATATTTTTAAGGAAAGGAAACATCTGTTAGGTAATTATTAAGTACAAACACATTTTGTGCTATATTTTTAATGTACAAAGCAAATATTTACGATCTGTCACATACAAACAGGCTAATTAAAATAAAACTTGCAAGGTAAATGGTATATAGTTACTATTATAAGAAATACATTTACTTAGAAGTACATTATGTGAAACCACACTAGCATTCAGGTTAGTTTGTTATTTTACTCCAACTGCATTAAAAAAAATAACAAAAAATGTGCATCCTGTATTTCCTTCCAATGTTACTTGCAGGGGTTTAGTGATGGATATTATTGATAGTTTTTTAAAATCAAGTAGAACCTAATCAATTTAAACTGACTGGAAGACCAATCTGAATCAGGAAAAAAGTCAACATTTTACAAATATTTAAAAATATTTTATATAAGTATCAAATAATTGCTTGGAAATACATGTACTACCATACTCTATGTATACTTTACTACATACTTTACTAAGAAATACATATAGTAAACTACCGTTTTCTTTGTAGATTTCATAATAGAATTGTTCTTTCCAATAAACTTCTGAATAACAAAAGAAGCTTAAAAATATTTTAAGACATCTTTTAGATGGAGAAATAAGCCCTCAGCTTCTTTACCAGTAGAAGTGACTAAAATTATTTCCCATACTATTCATATGGGTGATAATACAAAATAACTTAGACAGTACAAAATTCTTCCTTCATCTTTCCATTTGACCTGCATGCACTTGGAGTCATCAAGAAACATGCATGTTCAACTAATAAGACACACCGTGCTAATTATTAAAATGTCAGAGTGAGCAATTTAGCAGCATAAAAGAAGGGCCAGAGCCTGCCTGGAACAGTGGGCCTCTAAGAAAGCTACAGAGAAATTGTGAAATGTTAGTAGAACCTCAAAGAAGTATAGGATTCCATCAATTAAATGATGATAACACAGATAGTACTAAGTACCTACCTCGTGACAAGCATTGTTCTATACATTTGGTATGCATTACCTCATTTAATTCTCATAACTACTCTTTGAAGTAGTGCCATCATTACTTCTATAATTAGGAAGACAAAGCACAGATAGGTCACATAGCCAGCAGGTAGTGGAGGCAGGTTTTGAATCTTAGCAGACCGGCTCCAGAGTCTGAGTTCACAACCACAGCACTCTCCAGGATTGGGCTATACAGAGATATGGAAGGAGAGTACGAAGTCGTTTGAGTGAAAGGCAGGCATGTCCCAGGGATAGTGGTAGATCAAAGTGCATGATGAAAAGTGATCAACAAATTAAGTTGAAAAGGGTAGAAAGGAAACAGGCTATAATAATAGTAGTAAATTCTGGATTAATCTGAATTCACTCTTTTCCTTATACTAAAGTGTCTTAAAAAGTTAGAGATGGAACAAAGGACCTTTCAATCCCCAGATCTGCCCTATAACCAAAAGCTAGCTGCCACTGCACACAGGTAGGGGGTAAGAGAGCTAGTGGACTGTATTATTATGAAAGAGAATGCAGTTCCTCATCAGGAGGGAACAGGGAAAAAGAGATATTAAACAAATTATGGTTTTTTCAATTCAACTATGACTCTAATAAGGCTGCCATTACTCAAAATATTTCCAAAGCTGTGTTCTTTGGAAATGCTTTCGTTTTATGGGGCTCATTTCAAAATTATTAGTTATAGTTATACTTTTTTTGAAACTGAAATACTTCCTTTTTAGAATATGCAAACTGCACCCTTTTCATTGGGATGGGTGAGGTCTGGAATGTTTATTTAAATAACCAATTAAGTAAATATTTATTTTGCATTTATTAAGCTTAATGTGTAGACTCTAGAATCCAAGTACCTGGTTTCTCATTCTAACTTCTCGGCTTACTAGCCAACTTGGAGAAATTACTTAACCTCCCTGTTTCTCAGCTGCCCTCCCTCAGGGCTGTACTGAGAGTCCCTCTTCAGTTACCTTATTGTTGCCATTGTTGCTGCTGCTGCTACCATTACCCAGCATGTCTAGCACTATGCACATTTATATGGAAAAAAACAAAGTATTAAATATGATCTCTCACTTTATATAGTTATATCACAAGGTGAACTGAATGAATGAATGAATGAATGAATACTAAGTACAATAGGGGTTTCATGACGGAAACACATCTGTATGTGGAAAGGTTTTTACAGAAGAGGAAGTTTTGAACTGGACATGCAAATGGGTTAGCATTTCAATGGGATAGGGAAGAAAGGACATGATGAAATAGGTCATACTTCCTCTGATACGGAGCATCAAAGTCACAACTTCTAGGCTATACTAGAAAATAAAAGCTCACATTACTCAATGTAATGTTTATTCAAATACCTAGAATTTATGGCAATTTTGGCAAAGACAACATAGAAGCTTAGCTGTTAATAGCTACATAAAAAGATTTTATCATGCAAATTAAATATAGATTAAATTTTATAACCGAAACCAAAACAGCAACACCTTTATTTACATATCAAAAGAAGACTAATCGTGAAATTTTATTTTTCAGTTTAAGTCAATTCAATAATAAATAATTTGTCAAAACTTTCCCCTGATGACAAAAATGAAGAGTGGAGTACAATTTTCTGTGTAATCCACACTGGCTATTTCTAAGAGGCAGGAATACTTTTAACTAGAATACCAATATGTCTGCTATCCGTATCTTTACTAAGTTTTAAAGTCCTAAACTACTCAGAAATCACACAGTTCAAGGGGAGGGGATAAGCAAAATGAGGTCTATGGAGAGCTTCAAATGTCATGTGCAAAGCCCTTGACATTTTGCATTTGGACAGAAGGGGAAATTCTGAGAATAGTACAGTGTAGAGTCTATAATCTAGACTTGTCTTCCAGCTTAGCACCTAAAAATTCATGTCTGGTCCCAATGAGGATGGGAAGACTGAGAAAAATGTACAAGCTGGTTTTCAGAATGCTCTGATGTACAAACAACACTGCTCTAGTTCCCACTAAAAAGTAAAGGAAAAGAGGCGGGGAGAGACATTCTACTTTATAAAGAATCCCTTTGTGGCCCTACAGGGAACATGTGGTACAAGGGTGGTGAAGTGACTACAGGGGTGGTACCCTGCAGAAAGTAAGCAGGATGGTAGCCCTTCAGATTACTAGGCTCATTAAGAGTGGTGGTATCTGGAGGAAATGGGATCCATGCCCAGCAGAAGTAGCCATGGTGGCCAAGGAGTAGTCCATACACCTGAAGAAATGGCAGCAATAAGCTGAGAGGGGAGGCCTAACAAGCAGTAGGTACAGCAAGTGAGAGGAAAATGGCAATGTCCATTAATGACTGGACTTGTTTATGAACACATGGCAACTCCTGTGGATTCCACAAAAGATATGTAATTAAGGAGAAGCCTTTACAGGGGTCATGCATATTATCAGGGGGCAAGAGATATCAAATATGCATTATTCATCCTTTCCCCATGAACTTCAAATATCTGCTAGTAAGATCATATAAAATGAAAGAGAATTGATGGGGTAAATAAAACAAATTTGTAAAAATCTGTGATAATAACTAGGTGGACATGGTGGGAGGGGACCACGTCAATATCCTTTTCAGTCCTCCAGATATTCTGTCTCCACAGTGTGCAGTCTTTTTTGAAAGATGCAGACCTTTAAACATCTTCCATCTTACTCAAGAATGCCAACAGTTGAAAAGAATTTCCTTGTATAAAAAATCTACCTGGAGGAAGTAGTCAAGACTGAAATGGTATTATTCAAATATTGCATTAGTGCATAAATAGTTGTTTTGGAAGGGGGGAAGACTTTCAGAAGAATGCTGGATTCTGCATTTGGGAAGGGGTGTGTGGAAAAGGGAGTGAAATAGAGAGTTCTCAACAAAGTACACTGAGGAATGCTGCCCCACTCAGTGTTCTTGTGCATTTCTCTGGGGATAAACCTGATGCACTTGACTTAGAACTAGCACAAAGTAGCTATATAGGGGGGAAATGAATGAAAGAATTAATTAAAAATATAGCATTATTGAATATTGAATAGGAAAAAGAATTATCCAAATGAAAAGGGCAGATGGATGAACATAACAAAAATTGCCCATAATTTTTCATTTATTTTAAAATATCTTTGTAACTTTTACAACTTTCTGTTACCTTAATTTTATAAGGTAGTTGATTATAGTCTTAGATGTCTCAGAAGGCCATTCTGAATCCAAACTTCAGTCTCCAAGAGAGAATAAGAAACATGATTTGAATTGAGCACAACCTAAACCTAGATTTATTTTTTCTTTTGTGTGTGTGTGTGTGGGGGGGTGTTAGGGGGCATCTATGATAGCCCAAATTTTCAGGACAGAGGGATGAGAAGATCCTAGAAAGCCCATTACAATAAATTAATATTTATTTGCCTTAAGAATAATTGTTACCATATAGACTAAATTTTAGGAAAGTAACATGCAAAATGGAAACAGCTGCATTAAGATGCTATGACTTGTTATGCTTTTGATAATCTTTTGAAAAATAAAAACTATGTTGCTAAATAAATCTGCAAAATATTTTCCTTTCCTGGTTTCTGAAGTCAGCTATTTTGACTGATTTGGGAAGAATTAGAAGCTTGAGGGCAAATAAGACCCTAATGTAAAACATGATGGGAAAGAAAGAATTAACAGAGAAGACACTGGTGTAGTTTAACAAAGATAAATGAT